GTTTTCTTTTGAAGCATATCACATAGAACAGAAGATCAGAAGATTTCTGAATTTTTTCATTATTCTTGAAGCTAGGTTAAAAAACTCTAGATTATTCTCCTACTGTTTCTGGAGATAGAGTTTCTAGGTGAAACTTAATTTTATGAGTCCATTATAAATAAGATCTCAGAACATAAAGACTCTTTTGTATGGGATAAAGAGGATGGTTTTTTTTTTTTTTTTTAATTTTTCTATAATGCCCTATATTGTAAGACATTTTTCAGTCTGGAAGAAATTCCTGATGGTTAATTCCTTCAAGGAATTAGGTTAAGTGCATCAGAACAATTACTAAATTAGAATCTTTAGAAAACAATGTAATGTATTTTCATTTCTTGGGGCTACCAAAGGAGGACCAATTAGGTAATAATCAACCCATATGGTATTTTAGAGAATTTGCAAAATTTTACCTCAGTGTCTTCAATCAACTATATGTAGATATCGGGAGAGGGGAGGGTCCACCAATGCCGGGAAGGTAGGAAAGTGTGTTTTACAATTTTCTCTAAGTAACATTAATTAGCATTATCACATCCCCAGTATGGCCACCGAATTTTTCTCAGGCAAAATAAAATGGGTCAGAAAAGAAATTTAGGAATTCTAGGCTCATATATTAGTCATTTAGTTGCCTTATTTGGTGCTAAGCTGTATTTCATTTAAACATGTCAGGAACAAACATCATTCTGGTCAGACTCCTCCCCCCCCATCTGATTACTTGGGGCTTGATTTTTGAAAGCTTGGGATGGCAAATTAGTCATCTACTTGGGAATTGTGAGCTTTCCTTCCTTAAAGGGAGAGCCTGAATGTCAAAAAGCGAAAATAATGCCTCTGGACTGTTTTTCTTGTGCTTCATTCTAAGTAACATCATTTTCGAGTCAAAGTGCTTTTGGTGCTGGGCCAGTTACCTTGCTAACCTGCCTCTTCCTCACGCTTTGTTCTGGGGGTTATAGCCATTATTCTATTGTCTTTGTACGTGCTAATGGAGATCTAGGTCCTTGCGCCTTTCCTTTTCTGGATATTTTATGCAGGACACAGCTTCGTAGATCCACTGCATTTGGATGTCGGTGGGTCCTCCTGACCTTCTACTGTGGCGAAGGTGAAAGTCAATCTGAAAAAGAAAAAGAAAATAGCCTTTAGAAATAGACATAATTTGTTTTCATTCTATGTCTATACTCAAGAAAAATAAAATATACTTGAAAAAGTTTTTTAGGTCCCTGTCGATTACTTCACTCAGCTAGGACAATTTTTGATCAGTGGTTTATCTTGAATGCTTTTCCTTTTCAAATGCTAACATTTTGTGGTGTTGGCAAAGTTATTCTAAACTTTCTTTTTCCCCTGACGAGAGCAAGAAGCCTTGTATAACCCAAAACTTTGGTAGAAGAAATCTAAATTTTATTTAAATAGAGCTTAACCTCTGGGCCATTCAATATAGTATTTCTCTGCTAAGTCAAGTTAGCATGTAAATAATGTAAATATAACTAGAAACGTAACAAGGGTATTTAATACTCATCAAATTTACTTCTAAAATATTGCGGTGGATTCAGAACCCTGAATTCCAACCAGATGTACTTCTGGAGTATTACACAGGTCGTATATATTTCACTTTTTTGGTTCAAACCCAGGGGATCAACACGATAATTAGATTGAGAACATCTGCACCAAATCCAAACCATTTCCCCTGATCCTTCCTTGAGTCTTCCCCACGGGAGGGATTTTTTTTTTAAGCTTCTGCACATTTTATTTGTCTAGTCACCTTTAGGGTCTCGCCGGCCTGCCACCGCACTAATAGGAGGGGAGGGCACACGGACCCCCAAGTGTGGGATAGGGGAGGAATCGCCAGAGGTGGCAATGCCATTTCCCGCCAGGGGCCTGGCTCTGGGACAGGGCGTGGCCAGGCGCGGGGCGCGCGGGTGGGCACGTGCGCAGGGACCTGGGGACGCGAGTGTCGGGGCGCCGCTGCCCTCTACCGGGCGGCGCGGTCGAAGCTGCAGCGCGGCCACCGGCCGACTCCGCGCGCGCGGGCTCTGGCGCCCCACACCCAGGCGGCTCTCGGCGTCCCGAAGTCGGGAGTGCCCTGCCGAGCGCAGCGTCACAGCATCTGGGGCCGAGGTCCCCGACGCGCTCCCACCCACCTGCTTCCTGCCCCTCCTGCTAGTCAAAAGTCTCGATGAGGACACCGAGGGCACCCCCTTCCAGACTCAGGAGCAGCGCGTTGACGAAACTGAGGCTCCTGGTCGGCAGTGCGAGACCTGGGGGCACGCGTGTTCTCTAAATCTTGGGGACTTTCATTTCCAGTCCTTTCCTTCAAAAGTGCTGAATTCACTACAACGATCAGCGCTAAACGCTCCAACTCAGTTGAAAAGCAATTATATTCCACTTACATCTTTTATTTTGTATTCCATACAGATTTTATTTACATATAATTTTCAAGATTAAGGAATTTGGGGATTTATTTTAACTAATTACATGTTAAATGAAGTGCGAGAGAGTAAAAGTACAGTATTCCTACTGGAAACAAACTCACACGTGTGTATAATCAATTAAAGATGATGATCATAAAGCCTGTGCTTTTGCCAGGTTTCTGCGGAGAAACAAATCAAAAGAGAATTGAGTTTTTCGTTGAAATTTTAGTATTTCTATAAACTAGGGACCTTGCTTTCTGTTTGAAGTGCACCCACACTTTCCAAGTTTCTGCACCCAAGGGAGTGAAAACTGAGGTGTCTGAACTACAGGAAGTTTCTAGGGCTGTTCCGTTGAAGCGGTGCGGGGGGATACAGAACTGGGCTCCAAGACTTTTCCTGTCGTGGCCTAAGTTGGCGCGGCTTGGGCGCATAGGGGCCGCTTAGACCCCTGGCCACCGGGGTTGCGGTGCCGGGACTGCGCGGCCACCGTGTGCGGCATTAACGTGCGCAGCGACACGAGGGTCGGGGCTGGCTTCCCCCACCTCCACTCCCTCCGTGAAACGACGTTCCTCTGGCTCGGTCTCTAAGTCCGGCTGGGGCGCAGGGGGTGGGCGCGCGGCAGCCCACGGCCAGCGCGCCTCGCACACGCGCGGCTGCCGGGGCTCCGGTCCGCGCG